GTGCTACAGACTGCCTCTCTCGACACCCGACTGGTGCGCCTGAGGGTTTGTACCTTCCCGATGACATCGCGACGATCTCTTCGATACCTGCCACGTTCCTGCACTCCACATCGCTCATGGCGGGCCTCCGCACGCTGGCCCCGCACGACAATACCATCGAAGTTTGCACACTCTCCTCTGCTATGGAGTCTCTCCACCTGAAGTCAGTCACATGGGACAGAGTCCGTACTGCCACAGCTAGTGATGACAACATGCAGGCACTGCTTGGCACTATCAAAGCTGGCATGCCAGAGTTCCGCCATGAACTCCCTCCACCCCTACGTGAATACTTCCAATTCCGTGACGAGCTCTCTGCAGTCGACAGGGTCATCCTCTACAAGGACCATCTTGTTATTCCACCATCTCTCCAGGAGGAAGTATCGGCCCACCTCCATGCTGCGCACCAAGGAGTCACCTCTATGACTGCAAGAGCAGAGTCCTCAATCTTTTGGCCAGGAATCTCTCCTGCCATTGCGGCTCTCCGTGCACGGTGCAACCAATGCAATCGGATTGCACCCTCCAACCCGAGCGCACCACCAACCCCGTTGCTGTCTCCAGCCTACCCTTTCCAATGTGTCTGTGCAGATTTCTTCCACTACAAGGGCTGCAACTACTTGGTTGTAGAGGACTGCTACTCAAACTGGTCCACTCAGGGGGCAACTGGACTCATCTCATGCCTGCGTCGGACATTCGTCACCTTCGGAATCCCGGATGAACTTGCATCGGATGGTGGCCCAGAATTCACGGCAGTCACTACACGCCGCTTCCTCCAGGACTGAGGCATCCATCATAGACTCTCCTCCGTTGCTTATCCACATAGCAACTGCCGCGCTGAGGTCGCTGTCAAATCCGCCAAACGTCTCATCATGTCCAACACCAGCCCCACGGGTGCCCTAGACACTGATGCCTTCCAGCGTGCTATGCTTCAGTACAGGAACACTCCTGACAGGGACACCAAGCTCTCTCCAGCCATGTGTGTCTTTGGCCGCCCAATTCAAGACTTTATACCCATTGCTCCCCTCCTTGCGACCACTGCGATGGCTCAATGGTTGAGTGCTCGCCTTGTATGTGGAAGGTCGGGGGTTCAACTCCCGACCGAGTCATACCAAAGACTTGAAAAACGGTACACACGGTTTCTCTGCTTAGCATTCCGCAAATAGAGATAGAGTGTGGCAAGTTAACTCGCAGTGCTACCAGTGGACTAACCCCCTACTGTAGCATTTACTGTGAAAGCAGCTGCATGGCCTCAGGGTTACTGAAACAGAGATAGGCACCGCCCTATGCGCCATGTAGCTATGCGCTATGCATATGAAGGCGCGGGAAAGATTTAATTTATTTAATCCCGGCAAATACAAACCACACAACACATGGCGTGAGACCCTGGCAGCTCGGGAAGATGCACTTTGCAACCGCCACATGAGGGATGCGGAACGTTGGTCTGAACATACTAAACGACTCCTGCCCCTTGCCGTTGGTGACCACGTCCGCATTCAAAATCAGACGGGGCTGCATCCACTCAAGTGGGACAAAACCGAGGTAGTGGTCGAGGTTCGGGAATATGACCAATACGTCATTCGAGTTGATGGCTCTGGGAGAGTCACATTACGCAACAGAAAATTCCTGCAGAAGTATGTTCCTGTTCAACGACCTTCACCTCCAACAACAATGGAGGACGACATCCATGCTCGTCGCCGACCGGCACCCATGCCTCTCTCCTGCCCTGCAGGACTGGCACCACGCTCGCCACGCTCCACTGGCTTTGCTGACGTTCCTCACTGCAACACAGTGCCGCCTGCCAACATGCCTCTGCCACCCCAGCTGGACGATGATGGTTCTACCGACAGGCGTTCCCCTCTCCCTGCAGTTGTCCCCTCTACTGTGCATGACTCACCAGCAACGACATCAACCGACATGGCACCACCGGCAATCTCTCGCAAACGGATTCCGGATCCTGCACCCGTCAGTGCCCCTCCGGCTGGCCCTCCTGCTACAGCACCGAGACGCTCTACCCGTCGCACCAAGCAGCCTGCTTGGCACTCTGACTATTCCATGTGATCTCAGCATTCAAACTGACAATGTTTTTCGCGTTCCTGTGATATTGGACAAACTAATACGCGTTTGGCTATAAGGTAATGTACTTATTAACTACACAAGGTGCCAGTTACTCTAGCATTCGTCAACATTGCATAATCAATGGACATATTATTCCTTTAACGTTTCTCTACTCTCTTTCGCCTATTATTGCCGATAATTTCCTGTAAATGCCATTCAAAGGCTCCTCTGCAACACATGAGTACACCGCACGCACGCCGCTGTGCACAAACAAGTATAAAGTCTAGGTAGGAAAGCGTGATCGTCCTCCCATTTACATTTTGGCAGAGTGCAAATTTTCCACAGGAATTCACGAGATATTTCTGGTTCAATCGGCAGGGTTGAAAATACTTTTCTAACATCGGTGATCCTGCAGGATCACCGATGTTATAATATTGGTGATCCTGCAAACATTTTGGTGATCCTGCCGAAACGCATACGTTATAATTATTTATACATTGCAATATGTTCCTGTTTTACAAGCGTATACAGTAACCAGGCAAAAAAGATAGAAACAGCACAATCAGGAAATTAGAATTTGATTTATTTCTTTATCTCTTTCTCAGTCTGAGTCTGAGTGTTGCACAGACAGTTCTATAATATTAATAAGTGCATCATCGTCATCTACGTAATCTTCGGCTGTCTGTTCATCATCATCTTCAACAGTGGCAGGTTTAGTGGAAAGATGAGGCCCATACGGTTTGACAAAAGGTGACAAGATTTTTCGGTGATCCAGTCGGATCACCGATGTTTTATTTTTCATGATCCG